AAACGCATAAAGCAAAAGTGTAGAGTAGCCGTAACTTTTAATGGTAAAAAACACAAACGTTTTCGGGCATCGCCCTTCATCAGGTGGTACAGATAAAAAATATTTATAAAATAGGCCTATATTTTATATATATTTTTTTCATGTATTTTGCTATACGCATGCATTATTAAACATGTTGCGATCAACATTGTGAAAAGAAACACAATCAGTATTTCCTCCATGGAGAGAAAGTGCAGTGATCACACACAAACTAATTTTCGAGTCTCAATGAGTGTGGTGAATGTTTTTTTTCCTTCACTATGACAAGGCAAATCCCAAATAATACATTTTAAGATATTTTAAAAGGACAATTTACCACTACGTAAACTGAATAAAACGTCTTAAGATTTTGTCTTTCACTAGCTTTGATATATCTGTATATATATGTATATATATGTATACATATATACATATAATATAAATCATCAAAGGTACATATCAGTGTTTGATAAGGACATGATGGAACATCGTAGGCTACCCTGTAGATTTTGAACGAATGAAGTCCTATAAAAAGTCATTGTGTAATAAAATTCCTCAGACGGGATTCGAACCTGCGACCTTTCGCTGTCAAGGCGAGTGTCATAACCACTAGACCACGGAGGCTTCATGGTTGAACAGATTCAAATACCACCAGATACACTCTATTACACAATAGCCGTACCTATTGCGAGAGGTCGCAGGTTGAGTCCCGCCAGAGGCATTTTATTACACAATTTCTTTATTCATTTATTTACAGGACTACATTCGTTGAGAGCTATGCTACACGATGTATTTATTAAGTCCTTTATTCGAACACTGTATTTACCTTTCTTTGTTGATTTATATATGATTAAACAGTGTTAACGGCTACCTTGATTTATGTTATATATATATATATAACCTGAAATTTCTAATTCGTAAAATTTTGAACAGTACTGCCATTTTTCGACACTCTCATGAAGCTAGTGAAAGGCAAAATCTTAAGACTTTTTATTCAGTTTACGTAGTGGTAAATTGTGCTTTTAAAATATCTTAAAATGTATTATTTGGGATTTGCCTTGTCACAGCGAAGGAAAAAAACATTCACTACACTCATTGAGACTCGAAAATTAGTTTGTGTGTGATCACGGCACTTTCTCTCCATGGAGGAAATACACGTACGCGTTTACAATTTCCAGTTTCTTATTGGCCAGTGATTCGATCATCATATTTTTTTGATTTACCTTTTTATTTACCTTGATGCTTCGAGACTTAGAGACCTATGCTCATTTGTCCCTCTTGATGCATCCGAGAATCTTCTTCAGATACATACGGGCTGTACTTCAATCGGTGGCCAGACCAGTTTCCTTTTTCCAAACCCGACTTAAAGGCATTTACTGTCTTTGCAGAGACAACATAATTTGGAAGTGCATTCCAATCATTCACTGCTCTAACTGAGTAGGAATTCTTTCTAACATTAGTATTTGCTCTACTTTTATAAAGTTTATAATCATGTCCTCTAGTTTTACTCTGAGGAGGTGGGCTTTCAAAAATATTACTTGAGTCAATGGTATCCATATCATGCAATATCTTGTATGTTTGAAGAAGATCAGGTCTCTTTCTTCTATAAGATAGCGTAGGTAAATTTAGCTCTTTTAATCTATCCACATATTCCTTCCCTCTCAATTCACTTACTAATCTAGTAGATCTCTGTTGTACTTTTTCTAACAAATCACTATCTTTTTTGTATAAGGGAGACCAAGCGCTTCCCCCATACTCAAGAGAAGGTCTTACTCTAGACTTATAGAGAGACATATAACCATTACTATCAAGGTATTTGAATGACCAAATAATTAAACCAAGCATCCTATTAGCTGATCGGGCAACATTTACAGCATGTGCAGAAAAATCCAACTTTTTATCAAATAATATACCCAGATCTTTAACTTCGGACACACAATCTATTCTAACTCTGAAATTCCCGTCACCAATAAAATAACCAAAATGCTGGTTACGAGTCCCAAAATGCATAACTTTACATTTTCTCAAATTAAAAGGCAATTGCCAGTCAATTGACCACTTATACAAATTATCAATATCAGCTTGTAAAACATCTCTATCAGAATGTGAATTAACTATATTGTTGGTATCCGGATCGGGATTTTCTCGCATGGACGCACGGCAGCTAACGGTTAGCAGGATCCGGATCCTGCCAAGGCAATTCAAGCCTGGTTCTCACGAGAGCCCTAGTATCCAGATCGGGAGCTAACCGTTAACGCTGACCGTTAGCACCTGCGTGAGAACGCCCGATCGGTTAGCGGTAACCGTTAGAAGTATCCGGATACCACTATCGGTTGGCAAATTGAGCGCGTTTTTATAATCAACCAATTACACGTACGCGTTTACAATTTCCAGTTTCTTATTGGCCAGTGATTCGATCATCATATTCTTGGTATCCGGATCGGGATTTTCTCGTATGGACACACAACAGCTAACTGTTAGCAGGATCCAGATCCTGCTAACTGTTAGCATCTGTGTGAGAACATAGCCTCAACAGAAGGACGCACATCTCGGAACATCAAAGGTTATAACTCTGGCATCGACATTCTAGGCGCACTTGCGTCCCTGCACGCTGAACGTCACAAAAACCATAGCAACCAGACCATAAACCGTCAGCGTACGTGACGAATTAGTTAGTTGCCATAATAATCGCGCGTCGTGCGGTGATTACAAAGGCCTAATGATATTTTGCACTAACATCAGACTGAAATTATATTCTTCATTTCAACATTAATTTTACCAAAATTGTGGTGAGTTGTCGTTCATGAGACTCACTTCGCAGAAAAAATTAATAAATGTTCTGTATATACTCGAATGTTCATTTTCGGCACCTTATGCCAACATTGTCAAAATGACAGATTAATGTTACATAAGAACATGAAATTTTATAAAATTCGTAAATTTTAAATTGCTATAACTTTTCATTTTCTTGGTAAATTTTCACAAATCAACTTGCAGTTTATAGAAGCATTTAACAAGCTCGCGGTAAAAAAAAAATCAGATGCAACAGACATTGCGATGTACCCAAAATTATTAATAAAAACTAACACCATAAAACGAATGGCATACATAGACTAATAATTGACGGCTGTACTCGCAACTAGTATCGGGTTGTCGATGCCACAGTAAAGATCAAAGGACTGTACGCACACGCTATGTTCGAGAGCGGAGATGTGCGTCCTTCTGTTGAATTACCTTGATCTTGCCATGGAGGTATTATTATCAATAATACCTCCATGATCCTGCTAACCGTTAGCTGCCGTGTGAGAACATAGCCTGTGTTTCTTTACACAAATGTCGATCGCAAAACTTTAGCGCATGCGTAGAAGCTACATAATTTTGATCATGGCGCTCAGGGTTGGCACGGCGTGTTTATGAAAGGGTCAAATGCGCCGCCGAACGAATAACTGATTTTGTATGATTAAAATACAATTAATACATAGGCCTACACCTACAAAATATTGCAGATTGTTATATTGAATTGAATAAATTAAAATTTGGCAACATTAAAGTACGAATTTTCATAAAATAATAATAATAATAATGATAATAATAATAATAGGCCCTTATAATGATAATAATAATAATAATAATAATAATAATAATAATAATAATAATAATAATACAGTAATAATAATATTTACTGGTAACAGATCTGCATTAACTTGTAACAGATAGGCTAGTGTACCGTTTGGTCTAAGAATGTGTCTCGCTGGTATAAAATACCGTATTAACTAATGTAAAATAACATGACTATGAAACATACAACTAATTTTACATATTGAGATATTAATAGTATTTTTTAAATGTATTTTGATTATTTGCACATATGTAAATAACTTGCATTAAAGATTACCATAGTGGATATACAGTACATTATATTCATAATTAGAATAACAGAATAATACACTGTTTTATTTTTAAAACCGTTGTTTGTATGCTGTCAGTCTTTGATGATTAGCTAATTCATGATTTTGTTTAGCCCAATTGGAATTGTCTTCAGTGATCAAGTGTATGCATTTGCGGTAAAAACGGAAAAAGGGGAAGAACACGTAGAAGATAACACAATTATACGCTATATTACCTGTGCTGGTAAACTTCAATCTGAAAACAAGAATATTACTATCAAATGGAGTGATGTTGCACAAGTTTTACTCAAACCGCAGTAAGTTACACACATGTATTTTTAGCCACGTTTATAAGGTCATCACTGCAAGGTTTATATAGGTTAGGCCTATTGGGTGTTCTCAGTGGTGTAACGCCTATGTGCTCTTGTGCGACTGTCCGCGGAGCCCTATATGGTCCTCGATCTAGCACCATATCAGTTACAGTGGCATCGACAATCCGATTTGTTGCGAGTACAGCCGTCTATGCGTGCCATACGTTTTATGGTGTTAGTCACTGTATTTTATTAATTGTGGGTACTTAGCAACAGGGGCGGCACTAGTGGGGGTCCGAGGTGGGGGGAAGGATCCCTGTCAGGGACCACTGGACCCCTGGTTGGACCCCCTGTCGGGGAATTTCCAGCAAGGTCGTCGGGGAAAAATGAAATCTCGACCGCCAAAACTACAATTTATGTATGCCAAATGTTAGGGATTAAAAACTGTTTAGTGTGAGCAGTGCTACCGTGCGAGGTGTTGTATACTATTGCGATCCTATGGGCTGAGATAGTAGCGCCAGATCTTCCCCTACAGGGGCTGGTACATGCGACAGGTGATCAGTACCCCCGACAGGCGGCATCTTACCTTGCATGGTTTTCTATCAAATTATCCATTTGAAATAAAGAATACCATATTGATTCATGATAATTGTTTTACGATTTTTATAAAATTTCATGTTGTTATATTACATTAAACTGTCATTTTGACTACTGTAAGGTTCACAAAACGAACATTTGAGTAGATACAGAAGATTTATTTATTTGTTTCTGCAAAGTGAGTCTCATGAACGAAAATACACCACAACGTCGGTAACATTAATGTTGAAATAATGAATATAATTCACTCTAATTAAATTAAAATTGATGGAACATCCGCCCTCCCTTGGGCGAGGTAAACTTTGAGCATTTGACTAAGTGGAGGAACTACAGGAAACAAACGAACCAGAGCGGAGACTTTATTGGTAGACTTGCCACAAGTCTCTAATTTATTGATTTTTGTAGTATTAGCACATTTCGGAACGCGCCACCAGTGTCAGTTTATGTCGAGAAACTTTTTGATGCGAATTAGAACCCAGAATAGAGATATAACCAGAATACTAGAGCGTTAACCGCAATGTATTCGATGTTCGAAATACGCAGATCTGTGTGTGTGTACCATCCAAGATGGCTGCCTTAGATTTAGCCAATCAAATTTCGCTAAGCACGATCATTTGCAATTGCGCTCTCAATTTACTCAGAAAGTTCAGTACAGCTAGTTATCCGTATGTTTGTAACTCGAGCGTTGCAGTGTTTGGGTGTAATGTACACGATTTAATTTTCATTCCTTGGTACTTTATTTTTGAATAAGATGCTCCACTTGGTCTCGTTTTGGCTACAATAGTTCAATAATTTGTTATTACCAATTACTCATTATCATTAATGAAATAATAGTCAGTCAGAGGGCTTATTAATATGTAATAATATCATAGAGCTATTATTATTATACCTCTATGAATAATACATAGAGGTATAATAAGAATACTAGAGCGCTAACCGCAATGTATTCGATGTTCGAAATACGCAGAACTGTGTGTGTGTACCATCCAAGATGGCTGCCATAGATTCAGCCAATCAAATTTCGCCTAAGCGCCGTCGTTTGCAATTGCGCCCTCAATTTACACAGAACGTTCAGTACATCATGTTTGAAACTCGAGCGTTGCGATGTATGGGCGTAATCTACACGATTTTAATTTTCATTTCTTGGTACTTTATTTTTGAATAGGATGCTCCACTTGGCCTCGTTTTGGCTACGATAGTTTAATAATTTGTTATTATAATTACCCATTATCATTAATAAAATAATAGTCAGTCAGGGGGCTTATTTATGGAAATAATATGTATACTAAGCCTGAAGGTGGCGCTTTACTACGACGGCCATCTTGGATGGTACACATACATAACTCTGCATTGCTCCGCCATCTTGTCAGCACTCTTACACACTGTTTACATAGAGATATAATAAGAATACTAGAGCGCTAACCACAGTGTATTCGATGTTCGAAATACGCAGAACTGTGTGTGTGTACCATCCAAGATGGCTGCCATCAATTTAGCCAATCAAATTTCGCTAAGCACCGTCATTTGCAATTGCGCCCTCAATTTACTCAGAAAGTTCAGTACAGCTAGTTACTCGTATGTTTGAAACTCGAGCGTTGCGGTGTTTGGGTGTAATGTATACGATTTTAATTTTCATTCCTTGGTACTTATTTTCGAATAAGATTCTCCATTTGCTCGTTTTGGCTACAATAGTTAATAATTTGTTATTACCATTACTCATTATCATTAATGAAATAATAGTCAGTCAGAGGGCTTTTATTTATGGTAATAATATGTATACTAAGCCTGAAGGTGGCGCTTTACTACGACGGCCATCTTGGATGGTACGCATACATAACTCTGCATTGCTGCGCCATCTTGTCAGCACTCTAGTTGTTTAATAGCTCTATGAGTTGTTTAATAGCTCTATGGAATAATATGTATACTGAGCCTGAAGGTGGCGCTTTACTACGACGGCCATCTTGGATGGTACACATACATAACTCTGCATTGCTGCGTCATCTTGTCAGCACTCTAGTTGTTTAATAGCTCTATGGGCTACAGTCAACTCGGCCACAAGTCAACTCGGCCACAAATCAACTCGGCCACAATTAACTGCAGCCTATTTACTGGTACTAAACTTTGAAGGAGTAATTCATGAAGTATAAAATACTAATTCTTTAAGTATTACTATAACTTATTGTTATTATTATTGCTCTTAATATTATTGTCATTGTTGTTATCATTGTTGTTATTATTGTTGTTTTTATTATTGTTAGTTTTAATATTGGTATTAGTCTTAGCATTAACATTATGTATTGTTTAAATTTTTTCTGATATTATTATTGTCACCATATACGGTAAATAATAAATAATTTTATTTTTTATTCATATTATTATTCATATTATTATTATTATTATATAGGCATATTAGTCTTAGCATGGACCTATTAATAGGTCCATGGTCTTAGTATTATTATTTTAATAATAGTAATTTAAAAATTGTTATTGGTCTTTTATTGGTATTTTTCTCATATTATTATTATTAATATTATTATTGTTGTTGTTGTTGTCACCTTTATTATCGATACTATTACCCTATTAATACTAAGTTGGCCTAGTATTATAAGTATCATCAGTATTATTACTAAATATTATTATTATTGTTATAAAAATAAACATTATCTTTAATTTATTATTGTTGTTATTATTGCTAATATCGTTATTATCACTAATTAGTATTAAAATAGATATTTGAATATCATTATTATTTCCAATTGGTATTATTACTTTTAGTATTGTTAAAATAAATATTACTATTAATATTGTTGTTATCTGCTTTATTATCGTTATTATGATTAATTAGTATTACTGTAAAGTAAATATTATTAATTTATTGTCGTTATTGTTGTTTAATATTATTGTTGAAGTAGAATGTTGTGAGTACACAGAAGATGAACACACAACGTCAGTAAGACGTAAGACGTCAGCAAATCAGTGGTGGCGCTAGAGGGGGCTGGGGGCTATAGCCCCCTCGTCGGGGAATCCTAGCCCGCCGTCGGGGAAGAAGAATGTATTCCGTCGGGGAACAAAAAAAAATTTTTTAAATTTATTTTTATTTTATTTTTACTTTTCATCACAATAATAACAAAAACAACAATTTTATTTTTATTTATTTTCAATCAAAAACGTTGGACAGGGGTGCCGAGGAAAAGCAAATGTTAGAAAAACTGTCATCAAAAGATGTGCTTATAAATATACAATAATAATAATAAGAACTAGATTTGAACTCGTCACTGAGGACGAGTTTGGTGATCCGCCGTACTTTGACCCTCACGAAGCACGCGCTGTTCTGATTGAAAAGTATTATATGCTAAAACATGCTCTATTTAAAGAGTAATTTTGAGCATTTTAAAAGAAATTTTAAAGGAAAATAGTAATTTTAAGCATTTTAAGGACTGTGTACACATACGTCTTAACGTCCGTGCGCACGGTAGTATTAATACAGTGTCACAAACCCAACACATGTAACCGAAACGTAATTTCAAGCTTCAGTACGTGCTGTGGGCGTAGAAATGAGCGTAATTTTGGAAAGTTTTGAATTATTCAAAATGACCTGAAACGTGCTTTAAATTATCTGAAAAGTGATATTAACAATTTTAAAATTTTAACGCACAAGTACGAATACCTTATACGACGTGCCTGACGACGGTAATGGCACATGAATTTAAACCTTGTCAAGTTTAATTTAAAACCCCCTGTTGGTTGGTAATGCCACACGAATTTTGCACTTTACAGTATACGAACTATCGGTCTGATAGTGTTGAAATACAGTCTGCCGCCCTCAATTTTCAATGTGTTTACATCTTTTAAGAAAGAAAGATGAGAAGGCTCGAAAAAAAGCATTCTTTTTGACCATGATGACGACATCAAAATAAAAAATAAAGGGACACGTCCGAAAGAGAATTGATCTAGCTATAACATACTCACAGGTGGGAGACAATCAATCAAGATAAGCGAGTACGTTCAAACGAGTATAAAAAGTAATAACGTCATAAATAAATATTCAATTTTTTCTTAATTCAAATGGCAATATGATAACGTCACTGTGATGACGTCACAATGTCCGATCAGCCAATATGATCTATAAAATCGTATCTACAACTCATGTGCTTTCAGAATATGTAATAAAAATTGGGGGTCACCTTTCATCCTATGGAGCTATAAGAGATTAAAAATATTCATAGTTTTATGCATATATAAATGTTGACTCACGCGTACGCGCACGTTAAGTCGCGCAAACGGAAAATTAAGGTACCTGACATTCAACCTTGACCTGAAGATTATGCTCACTTAATATGATTCGGAAATGACGAATAGTTAAGATGATATGGGCTCATCAACTTTTAGATGAAAGAAAGATGTGGGGGTCAGAAGCAACAATTTTTTTGACCATGACGTCATCAAAATGTAAAAATAAGTCAAATACTGTATATGAAAGAGAATTGTCTCAGCTATAACATACTGAAAGTTGGAAGACGATTGATCAAGGATAACTGAGATACGCTCAAATGCGTATTTTCAAAAATGACGTCATAGCTATAAATCACTTTCTTTGAATTCAGATGCCAATATGATGACGTCACAATGTCCGATCATTATGATCTATAAAATCATATTTACAACTTATATGCTTTCAGAATATGTAATGAAAATGGGGGGTCACCTTTCAACCTAAGGAGCTATAACTGATTAAATATAGGCCTGATTTTAGCATAATTTCACTGTATAGCGGCACAAATACGCGCAAAGATACCTACAATATGTTTGATGCGCACGTACGGTATTGCTATTGGCCAAAAGATGACCGAAAAGAATGGAAGTTTGTGAAAACAATGTCAGGAACCCAAACTATGTGAAAAAAACATTGTGTCTAGCTTCCGTACGTGCTGCGCGCGTCAAAATGCCCGCGCGTAGTGGAAAATTAAAAACAAAAATTGAAATGCTCAA